TTTATTGAATAAAATGTTAAATTCACATTTTAATTAGCTATATTTAGATTATATGCACAACTATCGCCATTCTCAGTTATACCAGAAGCTGATAAATATAGCATATGTGAACTCGATACGGTAAACATTCAATAAAAATACTCTAAACGTTCACTGACTATTAATACTTTCTTATTTAAGTGAGACCAGATGCTCTGGGGAAGATGGCATCATCAGCATCCAGCAGCTGCCCTCTGCTGACATAAATCGGAACTGCAGAGAGTTCAGGTCCACAGCAGAGGAGTATGGCTAAGACATGTCATTTGCAAAGACAGCCAAAACCATAAGCTAGAAAACCAAAAACCTTACAAGTTAATATAAAGGAGTGAGGCATTAATCTTGACATATAAAGGTAAACGTTAATATGCAGAATTCAAATATAAAAAAGAATATTCCAACAGAGGATGTGACAGTGGTCAGAGCAGGTCAACCGTTAGAAAACATGGAAGAGAATTTTCAGCTGTGCCAATTACTAGCTAGCTATACCATTTTAGGTGATTTTTCTTAACCTCTCTGAACCTCTAATTCCTATAAATAGAAATAAAACAGAAAAATTATCTATTAAATATCTCCTAAGCAATTCCAATTCCTAGGTATCACCAGAATTCATAATCAACAGTAAGACTGTCATTGCTGGTATTACATTAATCAGAGTACAAGGAAGCAAGTTCGTTGGGGGACTGCTGGCTCGCCAAGGCTTCCCACTGCTCCTGGAATAAAACAAAGCTCTTATGCAGACCTCATTCCCCACTTTATGCCGAACTCCTTCAGTTCTACGGTCTCAGCATAAGCAATGTTCCCACAGAAAGGTCTTGTCCAAGCCACCAACTGAATTAGTCTCCTTCCTTCTATTCAGGTTATTCTTTCCAATGTGTCTGTCTGTTCGTAGTACCTAGGTTGTATTTATGTGACCACTGTATATCTTCAGCAGTTAAGTCCATGAAGACAGTGACCAGGGAGCCTATGTACGTTTACTATTGTTCTACACCCAGCATCTGAGTCAAGGACACAACAAAAAATTGAACAATATTTGTGTTGGGGAGCTGGAGAGATGGCTCAGTGGTTAAGAGCACTGTCTGCTCTTGCAACAGACCAAGGTTCAGTTCCTAGCACCCACATGGCAGCTAACAACTACCTGTAACTCCAGTTCCAGGGGATCAGATGACCTCTTCTGGCCTCTGTGGGCACTGCACGACACAGGTACACTTGCGTACATGCAGGCAAAACACTCATACACATATAATAAAAATTTTTTAAAAAGAAAAATATTTGTGGACAAAAGAGAAGGGAAGGAAAGAGGACAGGAGGAATGAATTAATATCTGAAGCAGTAAAGGCGCATGTTTCAGCATAATATGAAGACAGCAATGCGTCACATAGCAAGGCTGCCTTGGATAGAAGTCTAGAGGAGATTTTTTGGTTTTTTTCTTTTTAAAATATTTTATTTATCATTTTTATTTTATATGTATGAGTGTGTACAAATGCACCCATGTCATGCAATGCCCACAGATGACAGAAAAGGGAGTCAGATCCCCTGGAATTGGACTTACAGTGGTTGTTAGCCATCATATGGATGGCTGGGAATCAAACCCAGGTCCTCTGCAAAAGCAGCCAGTGCTCTTAACTGCTGAGCCATCTCTCCAGCCCCAGAAGTCTAAAGGTTTTATGTGATGTGATGCTGACTCTAAAGGAGCATCATCTCAGGAGATTTTAAACACCCAAAGAAAAGACATTTTCTTATTTTGAAACAAAGACAAAACACCCCCCTACACACACACACACACACACACACACACACACACACACACCCCTTCTATCTTGACACATTTTCTTCCACATACACTAAAACATGCATCTTGAGGAATGGCAGAAGAAAAGGTTAACATTCAAAGCACAGTTCTATAATATACAACAAATGACTCTGCCAAACGCAATGATGGTCAGACTATGTTCAGAGGGACGGCTGTGTCTTCACATCCAGGCTCTAAGCTGGAAATGTATACGGAGAGGAAGGCCAGAAAATATGGACTACCAAGTTTACTTATCCAGCCCATACAACAGGATATATATATGTATATATATATATACACACTACATGTGAGAAAGAGGGATTCATTTGTAAATACCATGGAAACAAATGAGTTAGAATTTAGTCTATCTCTGACCTTCTGAGATGCCCTTTTTAATTTTATTATTTTTTATTTTTGTATATGAGTATATTGCCTCCTTTTTTGTGAGTGTGCCCATGCCATGCAATGCCTGTGGAGGTCAGAAGAGGGTACTGGATCCCCTGGAACTAGAGTCAACAGACAGTTGTTAGCTGCCTGTGGGTGCTGGAAATCGATCGTGGGTCTTCTGCAAGAGCAACCAGTGCTTTTAACCCCTGAGCCATCTCTCCAGCCCCAGAGGTGCCCCTTCTAAGCACAGAAAACTGAATGGGTCCAAACCTCTGTGTCCATACATGAAGGCATACTGCACCATAGGCTAAATGCCTTCTGCACTGCAGCTACTGTGCATTCAGGAGGAAAAGCCACAGACAGGCTGTCATGAGTAAACAGGATATGTCAGAAGAGTCCTAATTGTTTCATATTATTCAAATGCACTGTGGAGTGTTTTAGTTACATTGATGCTGAAAATTTTAAAGCTTGTCAGACATAACAAAATGATAAAAACTTATTTGCAAAGTTGAGTGTTTATAGTCTCTTCAGCACTATTTTCCTGGCCCTTACCTAATAAACAACTTACTACAAGATCACTTTCCTGTCTTAAAAAGTTACAGGCTAAGAACGACCTAGTGTAAAATAACCTCTCTTCCATTCTGTGACAAGTATGGCAGCCCTCTTGTCTGTGGAAGGAGAGAAACTGCCATTAGAATGAAACCAGGGTCAATAATGACGCTTAAATGTATGTTTTTCCTACACACATATACCTAAGATAAAGTTGAATACATACAGTCACCACAGTAGGAGATTTAACAATAACAAAATGGACACCTACATTACATAGTAACAAAAGTTCCGTAAAACATCAATTATTTCTGGTAGTCTCTGTTTAATGTTTTACGATTTTTGTATTTTATTTTATGCATGTCTGTCTTCATGTATGTATGTGTGCCATGTGAGTGAGTATCTGGTGCCTTCAGACGCTAGAAGAGGGTGCTGAAACAGGGGTTACAGGCAGTTGTACGCCATCATGTGGATGCTGGGAACCAAATCCATGTCCTCTGCAAAAGCAGCATTGCTCTTAACTGCTGAGCCTTCTCTCCAATCTATCCACTTAATATTTTTGAACCCTGTAGCTGACCCTCGGTAACTAAAACCTAGGATGTAAAGTGCCTATAAGGCGATACTATGGTACTATGAGTTGAGTTCCCACACCAGGCACAGGACAGTGGTTTTCTATAGCATGTTCCAGGCATTACTATCAGCAGGACTACTCAGAGCTTACCTTTCCTCATCTCCCTGTATTTCAGGGTTCTTCTCAAAGTATTCTTTGCTTTCCCTCAGGAAGACTTCATCCTCTCCAGTCTCACCCAGAGGCACAGGGGACAATGTCCCTGAGCTAGGGCCAGACCTCCCTGAAGACGCTTTCCAGGTTTCATCCCAAACACTCCCACTTAAATTAACGGAATTACTGCACGAGTCAGCAGCTGAGATGTGACGGCTTGGCACTTTGGCAAACTCTCTGCTCTCAGGAGAGGCTGTCCTTTCCTGTGATGTCTCAAAGCCTCCAGGATGCCGGGTCTCTCTCTTCTCTCCTCCTGTCCACAGTACCTCTACTCCTTGAAACTCTACGTGTTTGATCCGACCTTGGCGTCCCATGGAGCCACCTTGATCACATCCTTTGGGGTGCTCTCTTCCAAGGTCAGATCTCTTATCTTTCAAAAATCCAGTGCTGCCCACAGAGTTATGGTTCACTGCTGAGCTCTGCGGGGAGGATCTGGGGCATGCTGGCTTCTGCAC